TGCTCCCGAGCAGGGCATTTGTAGGATGCCTGGTGGGGAGAAGGACTGTGGAAAATGGGCTCAGAGTCTGGGTCTCTGGGGGAGCATTGTGGGGGCTTGGTGCACGTGCTGGGGGTTATCAACTGTGGAACCCAGGGGACTTACCATGGCTTTGGGGGATTGGACTGCACTGGGCTCTGAACTGGGCGGCCGGCCCCGCCTGGGTGTGCGACTCCAGATCCTTGGTCTGAGCAGCTACCCAGATGAGCCAGGGCACTGAGTTCCCTGGAAACTTCATAAACCGAAGCACCATCATGAGGATGTAGAAACGTTTTATTGTGGCATCTAATTTCAGCCTTGGGAAAAAGTACAAAGAATGGCACAAAGAAATTCCTGGACCCTTCAAATGACTCACCGATTGTTAGAATTGTGTCCCATTTGCTCAACATCTTTTTCTCTCTGGCATAATCTATACATATAATCTCTATGTATATATTTTCATATATATTTCATAAAATACCTATCTTTGTATATATCTTATAGATATGGAATAACCTCTGTCTCTATGTCTTTTCATATATACATACTATAATTTCCATCTATGCATGTATGTCTTTTCCTAGATATGTTAAACTGTCTTTCTATATATTTCTATATATATTATATACTTACAGTATAATCTCTATGTACATATCCTTATATATATATATAGAGAGAGAGAGAGAGAATAATATGTCTTTATATCTTTTCATATGTATATGACCTCTATGCTATGGTTTGAATGTTTCCGTCCTCCCCAGATTCCTATGTTGAAACCTAATGCCCCACGTGATGGTGTTTGGAGGTAGGGCCCTTGGGAGGTGAGTAGATCAGGATTCATGCCCGAATGAAGGAGATCTCACAGAGTTCCCTGGCCCCATGTGAGGACACAGTGAGGGGACGGCTGCCTATGGGCCAGGAAGCGGGCTCTCACCGGGCATCCAACCTGCCAGATCCTTGAGCTGGACTCTCAGCCTCCAGAATGGTGAGAGATACATTCTACTGTTTATGGTATCAGCCTGGATGGACTAAGATACTCTGTGTCCATGTATCTTTATATATGTATAGACATGTCTCTTTCTCTGTACACATCTTCACATAAACATGTAACATGTCTGTCTATGTATCTCTGTGTTCTCATTCTCCTACTTCACCACCGTGCATTCATCAGAATCAGGAGACTTGACATTACGGCAACCTCGTCTCCAAGCCACTGTCCATATTGGAATTTCACGCCCCTTTTAAAGTTAAAAGCACTGGATGTGGTTAACGTTTAGCGTGTCTCTCTGACATGGTCCAGTTAGCACTTCCACCATCAGCACATTTGCTCAAATACAAATGATAGCGGAGAGTCCCATGAACAGGAGGACATGACGTGGGCCAGGTTCATTGCGACCCTTCCCGGAGCACCAATGGCTGCTGGATGTGTGGTCCATTGTCACTGTCCTCACGAATTCCCTTCCCAGGACGAATATGGGAAGCTCTTTGCCTGTGTCTTCTCCATCGCAAAGGTCTAGAAGGTTTGAAAAACTGTGAAATAATTACTTGTCCAGAGATTACTTCCTTTGGGGAACAGAAGGACGCTTTTTGGGAGGGGGGAAGATGCGGCCACTGATGATGAGGAAAAAATAAAGCCCTACAAACGAGCAGAACTTTCTTGTCGTTTCTAAAATAATGCCCCTTATGTTTACCTTGTTTTGCAGTCCAGGATCCCTTCCAAGAACACGGCATTCAGTTGTCACGACCACAGTGATATGGAGGGAAACCATTCTTTTCGCTTTCTTTAGTAAAGTGTAAAACTAGACCCAACCACTGGCATGAACATTTACAGACTTAGAGTTTTCAGCTCCTTTCTATCGCGCAGCAAACAAAATCCAAACCCAACCGACCTGGGCAGACGGCACGTGGCTGGCGTCAGGGGGGTGGGTGGGGGTTGGGGAGAGGGGGCAGGACTGCAAGAGCCTGTTTTCGGGTCTATTCTTATGAAGCATTGTGGTCCTGACCCCAACCTGCCCTGGTTTGTTATCCAGATGGCGGTGCCCCGTTCTCTGCTCCTGAATCTGCTTTCAGACTCTGCTCATGTGTTAAAAGGCAGATTTCTGGCCTGGCTCTTTGACTGTGAATTTAATTACAAATCTTGCCCCAGGCGTGAAGGAATGAAAGCTTCCCAGCTAAATTAAAGTCCCGTTTGACTGGGTCAGCCTGTCTTCCCACAAATGAATAATAAATCTCTGTCCAGAGCGATGCTGGTCACCCCCAACCTCAGCGCCCTTTGTGGGGTGCTCTTGTAGACCAGTGTGGGGCAGAGAGGGCCCGTGAGCTGAGGATGCCCAGGCCACACTCTTTGGGCCTTGAGCCAGGGTGGGATTTAGACCAGAGCCTCCCGCTTGACCTCAGGCTAAGGGCTCCTGTGTTCCTCCAGCTAAGGACTACGGATAAACTGGAGATGTGTTCTTAGCCTGCCTTTTATCTGAAAAACACCTTTTAAACATTTTTTATGCTTTCATCTCACAGCAAAAGGGCCCGGGTGCTTTGTAGGTAACTAGAAGACACTTGCAAGTTAACTAAGCCTGGCTTGGGTCACCCACTCGATTTTTTGCTGGACTCACCTTCCTAAATGTGAGTTGCCAACACCTTGTGTGCAGGACAAGAAGACGAAGCTCATAGCGTGGAGGACATTGGTCTAAGGTGACCCCACTGGGGAGGGGCAGAGCCAGGTTGCCTCAGGGGTCTTCGGTTTAGCGGTCCCCACTTCAGAGGTCAGCATGCTAGGATGTGGGGATAACCTCCAACTGTCATCCCTTGTTCTCATTTTTTATTTTCTTCCACATACATCTGTGCTTCTTCCCCGTGACAGACTTTCAAATGCTTGGCATCGGCCACCATGCCTGCTTCCATCCCCCTAGGGGAGCTCCTCCTCCTGCCCACTCCTCCCGAGCACGTCCACATTCCATCAGTATGTAACCCCTCTGTGTGGACGTCCACTAAGTAGCCATGGGTCCCTGTGGGCCCAGGAGGATCCGAACTCTAGCTGGTTGTTAGCCAGAGCAGAGTGGGTGTCCCAGACGGAGATGGCAGAAGGTGGCCCGGTCTGTGGTGCCCTCACCCCACACCCCGTCCAAAGGTGGGCAGACCTGGTGCCCTGGGGGTTGAGTGAGTGGCAAAGGGTGCTGGGGGTCATGCGTCTGGACAGGCAGGAAGACGCTGGAGAGTTCGGAATCGGGGGGAGGGCCCCCAAGAAAGGTAGAGCCTTAGGGGCTGCTTCACAGTCCTAGCACCGCCCTGGACTGCCCACAGACACGGGGGGAGCCACGGAGAATGCCACTGGACAGGAAGTCCCACGACTTTCTGTGTGGGGAACGGAGGGCCAAGGGGGCCAGACGCAGCCCTCCTCACCTCTCCTTCGTCTCTGGGGCTCCAGGGGCCAAGTGTCTATGTTAAGATGTCTGTGGGGGCGCCTGGGTGGCTCAGGGGGTTCAGTGTCCGACCCTTGGTTTTGGCTTGGGGTGTGATCTCGGGGTTGTGGGATCAAGCCCAGCGTTGGGCTCATGCTCTCTCTCTCTCTCAAAATAAATAAATAAAATCTTAAAAAAAAAAAAAAAAAGCCATCAGCAGACCCAGAAGAAGCAGACCCGGGCAAGGAGCCTGCCTGAGCCCCATGTGACCCTTCCTTTCCATTTGTAACAGTGTTCTTTGGCTGCTGCCACAAAATACCACAACTCCTGTGGCTCAGACCAACAGAAATTCATGGTCTCGCAGCCTGCAGGCCAGAAGTCTGCGAAGAAGGTGTGGGCAGGGCCGGCTCCCTCCGAGGCCTCTGGGGGAGGGTCTCTCCTGCCCCTGCACTGCAGGTGTCCCGGGGGCTTGACTGGTGCTCTTGGGCTGCAGCCTCGGCCTCCCCTGTGTGCTAGGGGTGCTGGCATTGGATTCGGGGCCCACCCTGGTTCAGGATGGTCTCGTTCTGGAGCCTTACCTTCAGCACATCTGCCAAGACCCTATTTCCAAAAAGTGACATTCTGAGCTTCTGAGTGGACCTGAATTTGGGGGGATGCTATTCCAAACCCACGGCACCTCCTCCTTCTCAGGGTACCCCCGACTTGTTGGAACCCTCTGTTGAGATGCTTGCATGAGGCAGACGCCGCGTACACCGTTTCTCTCTAACGCATTCAGCAGAGGCCCTGGAAACCCTGCGCTTTCTCCTTCGGGGATGGAAAACTGCCCTCTGCAGCCCACCCCCCACCGGAGGGACATTCCAAGCCGGTCTTTCCATTTGGACTTTCTCATCTGTCTTTTATTTATACAAGCCCCAAACCACGGAACACTGCTCGGTAAACACGCGGTTATTTGCTCTGCAAGCGCTGGGATTGGAACCCCAGGCCCCCCCCTTCCCCGGAAAAGCCTCTGCAAAGCGCTGAAGCGCTGCAGCCTTTGGAAAATAGAAAAGGACTTAGTCATCTGGAAGGAAGTTCCCAGTTTTGAGAACCCGTTACCAAACCCTTCAGGGGTGACTGTGGCCGCCTTGCTTTCCTGTTCCTGGGAAGGCGGCACCCCTGCCTCGGGGCTGAGTGTCCGGTGATTTCTGTCGGGTTTTGCCGCTGCTATTGGTTTAAATGCCCGCCCACGGTTTCCCAGGGGGTCGCCTTGCTTGCCAGAAAGAGCGGCCTGTGGGGCCAGCCATGAGTCAGGTCCTCCCCAGGCCGGCCCGCCGCGCCCCTCACTCGGATGAGCAGAGCAGCTAGGGAGATGAAGATGATGCCCCGGCTTCTGAGCCACCCTCAGTCCCGGGATGCATGCAGCCCATGGCTTTTCCTGGGTCTGGGATTGTAAAGTAGTGGAGGGAAGAGCAGGGGAGTGTAGAGGGAATTGTTACCCCTGTGAGAATTTAAAATACATAGTAAGATTCAATTTAAGTCTAATTCTAAGACAGGCACACTGCTGAGCATCCGTTTCTCAGCTGGGACTCCCTTGCCAGGAAGCCGGTGATGAACGCTGCTGGGAAGCGGCTGTCCCCCTCTGAGGTCTCCCAGGAGAAGGGGACCCAAGGTGAAGGGGCCTGAGCCCTGACCACCAGAGCAGAGCATTTTCCTGACGGCCCGCACTCCAGAGTGCGCCTGTTTATTCTGGGGAGCGCGCTGTCTGTGTGTCCGAAAATAAGTTGCCCTCCGGACAGAGGGTAGGGGAAGGCCACCTCCCTTCTGGGGATCGCCTCCTGTTCAGGAGGACTGACCCAGGGCCACTCAGTCAACAAGCACTTATTGAGTCCCTACTGTATGCTAGACACTGGGCTGGGTGCCAGGAGGAGGCAGTCTTGGCCACGATCCCTTCCATGCTGTTGGCACCAGCTCTCCCGGCAGATATGAAGAACACCCACAGAGATACAAGGGACAAAGGGGCCAAAAACCCAGAGGGAAGGGGGATGGGGCAGATTGGGGGCAGGGCAGGAAGGCGCGGCAGGAATTAACTTCCCCCCCCGCAGCCCCCCGTGGCCAGTTGGACCAATATTTGTTTTCTTGTTGGTCCAACGCTGACCTGATGGCCGCCCCCAGGCCTGGCCCCGATTGTGATACCTGACCTTGGCTTCCGACCTCAGGCTGGCTTGGACCCTGGACCCAGTTCCTGCCGCTCCGCTGTGCGTCCGTTTGTGCTCTGGTTGTGACGATCGGCTCCAGGGCCCACGCCATCCTGCAACAGCCCTTGTCACTTCCCTCCCAGGGTCAGCAGTTTCTGGGCCCAGGGCCAGCCCTGCCTCCACTGGCAGACCTCCCTGAGGCCAGCCGCCGGACCCCTGCCCCGGGTCCCTGTCTCTGTCATCCGTGTGCTCATGATGCTCGCAGTCCTGACTGCCACACTGTCACTCGACTGTCCCAACCCTGACCGGCTGCTGCTGGACCCACGGCCCGCTGCCCGCCTGTCTGTCCCCAGATGACCTGTGGTAAGGAGTCCGTTAGGCCAGCGGGGGTCCCACACGGAGGGTGACCGTGGTTGACACTCACGGTCACTCTTGTCCTTAAGCTTTGTAAGGAGGGAGCGAGGACCCCAGCAGGGCCACTGCAAGGGGGCAGTGCTCCCTGTGTGCGATGGGGACACAGCCCGAGGGCCTCCCAAGGCTGCCAGGGAGGGAGTGGAGGGCTGGGGATGGAGCTGAGGGCTGGCCGGCGATTCTTCCTCCTCTTCCTGCAGGGAGGCCCCTAGTCCCTCCGGCTCCGTATCCTGCTGCCCGGAGCTGAAGCCGCCCCCTGGTGAGGCCGTACTCTCAGACCCCGAGGCTGGCGGTGTGCAGGTGCGGCCCCGAGGGTGTGCCCCTGGGGGCGCCGGAGGGGCGTGGGTGGGGGTGCCCCCTCCTCAGGCGGGTCCCCTTGGTGCCAGCCGTTCCCCGTCACAGCCTCTAGATGAGGCATTCCCGCGCTTAACAGGCCTCATTATCTGACCCAAATACCGCCTGAAACAGACCCGGCCCTGAGGGACACGGAGGCCCCGTCTCGCACCCCTGAGGGGTCAGCCCCTCGCGCACACGTGTAGGAGGTGAGGCTCACTTCCACAGAGGCGTAGCCCGCGATGCCACGCTGTCCTGGGTCAGGGCTGGAAGGACAGTGGGGCCACACCTGCTCGCTCGGAGCCTCGGGGACCGTCCGCCCCGACGGGTTCCTTGCAGGAAGGCAGCTCCCGGCCCGGAGCCTTCGCAGGCTGTGCCCGCTCCCTGTGGGTCTGAGCTCCCGACCGTGGGGACACAACTACCATCGTGACAGGACCGGTTGTGAGCTTGTTCAGTGTCTGTCCTCTGTGCATTGTGCTCTGTGGTAGATCTCCGGAGCTGCCCGGGAAAGCACCACACGCTGGGAGCTTAAACCAACAGAAGTGGGGTCTCTCACCGCCTGGAGGCCAGAAGCCCCAAATCCAGGTGTCGCGGGCCACGCCCTCTCTTGTGGGGGCTGCCCTCCTGCCGTCCCTGGGCCTGCGCTGACATCATTCCTGTCCATGCCTCTGTGGTGATGTGGCCTTCCCCCTGTATGTGTGTGTGTGTCCACGCTTCTCTTTTATGAGGACACAGTCTGACCGGATTGAGGTCCACCCCAAGCCAGCATAACCTCCCCTTAACTCAACGACATCTGCAAAGACCTTATCTTGCACGTATCCGGGGAGGCTTGAACACTTCTTTTTGGGGGACACAACGTAGCCCACAGCAGACTGGAAGGCTCTCCGGGTCTGGGTCCTCCCCGGCCACGGCTGCGCTCCTGGTGGGATGCGGAGGGCGCACGTGGACGGCCCGGGAATGAGTGAGCGAACGTGTGGGGAGCTGACCCTGCAAACAGGTTTTCAGAAAAGAACCAACACCCAGGACAGTGTGATTTGTGCTGCCGATTTCTCTCTCTTGTCCTCTCCTTTGCTCGTAGCTTTGATTCCTTTCTGCATGGACAGAAGCCCTCCCCGGTCCCCGCTTCCTGTTTCCCGCCTCCGGCTGTGCCCTTCCAGAAGCTGAACGGGCAGGGCTGGACATGCCCACGGGAGAAGGCACACGGCTGTGACCACGCTTTCTCCCACACCCCTCCCGGCCCCCGCCCCACACGTGTCCCCAGCCGCTTCCTGTGTCCCCCGGGGCTGCCGGCGACCTGGGCCCAGAGCTGCTCGCGGGGAGAGTGGGAGTGGGACGCACCCGCGTATGCTGCAGTGTGTGCTCGTGGCCCTTCCGAGCCAGGCTCTGGCTTTGATCTTGGGAACTTTCTCCTCCACCCCAGAGCCTCTGAGCCTATCTCTGGCCGCATCTCCCCGAACCTGCGAGACTGAGGGCGCTGGGTGCTTCCTGTCACCAATGTCACTTGCTCCTTAAATTACTCCGTCTTACTCAGCTACAGGCCGCTGTGACAAAATGCCCCACGCTGGGGGACTCAAGCAACAGAAGTGCGCCATCTCCCGGGTCTGGAGGCCAGGCGTCTGAGATCGGGGTCCCGCAGCGTGGGTTTCTAGTGAGGACTCTTCTTGGCTGGCTGAGGGCCACCTTCTCGCGGTGTCCTGGCGTGACAGAGAGAGGGGGAGAGAGACTGTGCACTCTGGTGTCCCCTTTCGTGAGGACACCACTCCTGTGGGGTCAGGGCCCCACTCTCACGACCTCACGACTTCCTGACTCCAAATACAGACACCCTGGGAGCTGAGGGCTTGCACAGACACCCAGTCCTCCACGGGCACGCTAGTTTTTTCAGGACCAATGTCCTTTTGAAAGAAATGCTATTGCAGATGACATGCAGAGGCTGCGTCAGGCAGGGAGGCAGGGAGGGCTGGGGCCGGGTCGGGCCTGGCTGCCCTGTTGCTGGGCATTCTGGCACTTTCCCCTTGGGTGCTGCTCAGGCTGCCGTGCTGAACCCAGGACCCTCCAGCTGGGAGGAAGGCCGCAGGACAAAGACATCACACTCTCTCTCTAAAGGCACTCACTGTAGACGGAGAACGTGAGAGGTTTTGTGGACGGTTTGCCGAGAAGCCTTGCAGGCAGACCCGGTGCCCGTGACCCTGCGGGGAACCCCCCAGCCGGGGCTGAGATGACCCAGCCTCACCCAAGCACGACGCCCTCAAGCCAGAGGAGGGCAAAGCCACCGTCCTGGTGGGATGAACGCCTTTACAGACCGTTAGACCAAAGGCAGTGGCTTTTCCTGCTGTAGCTGGCAGGGAAGGAAGGTGGGCTGGGCAGTCAGCGGGAGACGCCAAGGGATCTGGGTTAGCAATCACCTTGGAGGTGTTTCCCGAAGGCTTTCCTGGAGCCCTACAAAGGGCGGAGACCCCTGAGCCTGGAAGGCACGGAAACCTGACTGTATTATTTCAGACTGACGGACACACTTCCTGGCTGATGTGATTATCCACCTGCCGATTCCACGTGTACTGTCTCTTACTGTTCATCCCAAACATCTCTGCCGGAACTGGGCAGGGGAGAGGCTGGTGGAGGTGAGGAAGAGGGGGATGGGGCAGAGGGCAAAGGGGGTGGTGGGAAAAGGACTGTCCGGGGGTGCAATGAGGGGCGGTGAGGCTCTGCCTCTACCCAGTGGGGCCTATGAGCATCCTGCAGCTGCTGGAACCAAGCCCCACAGACGTTTGTTCTCTCGAAGTCTGGGGGCAGAAGTCTGAAACCAAGATGTGGGCAGGGCTGGTTTCTCCTGAAGGCTCAGAGGGAGAATCCTTCCTTGCCTCGTCCAGTCCCTGACGTTGCCGCCGACCCTGGCTTGCAGACACATCCCTCCAACCGCTGCCTCTGTCTTTCCATGGCCTTCCCCTCTGTGCGTCTCCAGTTCACCCGCCTTCTCTTATGAGGACACCAGTCACCAGAATTAGGACCCACCCTGAATCTAGGATGACCTCATCCCAAGATCCTTATGTTGATGGCATCTGCAAAGACTCTCTCTCCAAATAAGTTCACATTCACAGGCACCAGGGGTTAGAACTTGGACATGTCTGTGATGTCCCATGACTAAGTGCATCTCACTTTCATCTCCTTACTGGCAAACTGTCTGGAGTCTGGACTGGGTCAGGGACAACCTTGCTGCCCCTTGAAATTCCCCCAGCACCTTAAAGAAAGGAGGTGCCCTCCCTCCCCCAGAGATTCTGAGCCCCTTTCCTGGGTTGGAGGTGGATGCTGGTATTTCTTAAAGAGTAGAGCAGATAGTCCTTCCCCATGGTGGTGGGCCTCATCCCATCAGTTGAAAGTTTGAATAGAACAAAGAGTGAACCTCCCCTGAGTAAGAGAGAATTTCTCCTGCCTGACTACGTTTGGATGGAGACATTGGTTTCTCCTTCCTTTGGATTCAAACTGAAACGTTGGCTTTTCCTGGGTCTGGAGCCTGCAGCACTTCAGACTAAAGCTCCGTCATTGCCTCTCCATGGTCTCAGACCTTCAGAATCAGACTGGGGTTCTAGAAGGCCTTTCTGTACCTCGTTTTTCCATACACCACATTCCCATACATTGGTACTCACAAAATCAGGAGGCATTCACTCACTACTAAATTGGAAGGCACAGTCATTCCCGTTCTGTTGATCGGGAAGCTGAGGCCCAGGGAGGGACCCAGGAGGTCTGGCTGCTTCCTTCAGCACGCCACTGTGAGTGACCCGGGCCATAAAACCCAGTTGGGATGCGCACGGTTGTTGGCCTTCCCAGTCTTCTGGGGACCTCTGACAGCGGGGGCCTGGCCCTCGCAGCCCCGCCCCCCAGAGCCCCCCCCGCAGGTGCACCTCCAGCGGCCGAGGGCGCCTTTGCAGGGACCGCTTGCTTCTCCTCAGCCCAACCTGCTCTGGCTCAAAGTTGAAGAAGCAGCGTGTCCTGCACGCTTCTTGGGGCTTGGAGACAGCGTCCTGACGCTGTGCTGAACCCTCCCTTCCCAAGCAAGCCCGCTCAGAGGGCAACAGTTACCTAAGCGGAATGTGGAAAAGGGGTCCAAAAATCATCTATGCTGTGATTTTATGATGTTGAGGATTTGCAAAGTGAAACATAAAAGGAAGAAAAGACAAGGATAAAAAATGGGTGCGTGTGTGCAGATCTGGGACGATGAAGAGCAAACCACCAGCAACAAGGGAGAACTGTTCAGGAGGGTTTGGGCTGTCAGGAGGTGGAAGAGCGATGCAGTTCTGCGCAATTCTCGGGGAGGCTCCGGTGGGGAAGTTGGCTTCCCTGTGCAGTCAGCGCAGATTTTCTGGGAGAGCCACCCCAGCCGGGGGGGGCTGCTTCGTACGGGACGGTATCCTCAGGTGTGTACGAGGTGTGTCCTCAAGCTCTCGTGCCTGAGCCACCTGAACCCCTGGGGCTGAGAGGGTATGTGCATTTTCAAAAACCCCCTCCTGGAGACACTGTGCCCCATGAAACAGTTCTCGGTAACAGCCTGGATTGGATACGAACTCCCACACCCAACCTTTCTCCAGCCTTACCGAGCTCTTCTCTAGCCCTTGGTCATGACCACCCACCACCACCGGTGTTCACTGGGGGTAGCTCCTGCCCAGCGCCCCTTAGAGATGAAGGTGCCCCCCACCCCCAGCAGTGAGCAGAGCAGACCCCACGCCACTCCTGCCGAGAGCAGCCCCACCCCCTGTCCCCACAGGGGGACCCTGGGCAGAGGTCTCACTGCGGGTCCCCACGCCCCCAGGACAGCCCTGCCATGCGCCTCTCCCTGCGCTCACGCCCCCACCCCCCGCCTGAGGCCCCTCCCGGCCTGCTCACCTGGTAGGTGGTCATTGTCAAGGCTGCACATTGAGCAGGATTCCAGGAAAGGGG